AAAAAGTTCGTTAACAGAGGGGTTTGTAACCCGAGGTACCACTGTATGGGAATTTTTCCCATTAGACTTTTTCAGTATCAGTACTAAAAATTGTTGGAGAATGCCCCATCCCACCCGTGAATGTCACAGAGAGCACCTACTCATTTTCTCTGGATACAAATTTGATGGTGAATTTGGACATTTCTGCCCAGAATTGTACATGAAACATAGTGAGCGCCTTACTCTCAAACAGAGAGAGTTCCATTTTTCTATAACTGCTATTTTTCTCTCCTCTCCCCACCCCCAATAGCTTATAGATGAGTTGTATTTCAGGGTTGGAAATTAACTCACCTTGAAGAAGTCTTTTAAGAGGCTGTGGAACCAAAGCAGCACGTGGTGAAACAATTCAGTAACTCTCAGGAGTGTCTGCGGGAAGGTGTCAAAAAAATCAAGTTCAGTCAAGTGACTGAAGCCTCCACCTTGTGTCCCAACACACATAAAAAAGTGGGTTTTTTGACGTTCTCCCCACGGATGACCTTGGTAGTCCCTTTCTGCTCACTTCTCAGCATCCCTTTCACTTAACGCACCACAGGGCGTTTATCTGTTGATGGCTATAGGGCACACTTCTCTAGAGAGAAAACTATTGAAAATGTTGCCCCCTCCCCCCAAAAATAGAAAGAAGTTGTCATCCAGAAAGGATATCAGGAGCAGACTTTGTGGACCATAAGCCCTTGGAGAAGGGGTGCCTTTCCTAGGGATGTCTCCAGTGCTAGGAAATAAATATAAGACCCCAAGTATTTAATTGTATTTATTTACAGTCAGTGACCAGTGAAAAACCCAAGTACTTAAGGAGAATGGTTGTGCTTCATTTATGAAGCGATATCTGCTTTCCAGCAGTTCAGTTTAGCAGGTTGAGTGTCAAGATGGTCATGCTGCTCCTGGAGTGGATCAGGGCATGCTTTGCAGGTATTGGCACGATTCTCACATGCCGATGGATGATTGCTCAGATGCTTGCTCAGGATGCCCGTCTGAAGCCACTTTATTGAACAAGTGTTTGAATCCTTCTTCCAGGATGACATTCGCCAAAAATAGGTAGTGCAACTACCTTAGTTTATATTTTGGGCAGCTCCTTCACTTGTAACGTGAAGGGAAACTCGCAGTGCAAGAACTGGCTACAGGTCTTCTAGGTGCAAAGTCAGTTTAACTGGGCGCATCAGTCAAACCATTGCTTTGACTTAGGTCACCCCACCTACAATGCCAATTCCGTTGCAAGGAATGAGGTTTGCTGGCTGAATAATTGCCATGCTGGTGTCCCTGTTTAAATACGATGGCTCAGTGTTCCTGTTTAACTCTTAGGATAACTCTCGGAGTCTTGCGGTACATTCGGTGAAAGCTCTGCTGAATATGGATGATGATATTTTAATTGCACATATGGGGTCATGGCTCACTCTGGCTCACATGTCAGTGCTGACAAATCAGGAGACCTGCCGAGTGTTTGTATGCGGAGTAAAGTCCATGGCCAAGGAAGCTGAACTGAAGGATTTGTTTGCACGGATGGAGTGTAGAAGTAAGTACGAGATCAGCTGCATTATCACTGTATAAAAGTGACTTACTTCCAGGGAGCAATTATTAACTGATGTGATAGTTTAAGTCAGTGTTTCTCAACCGAGACAACTTTAAGATGTGAGGACTTCAGTTCCCAGAATTCCCCAGCCAGCAGTGGGGAAGTCCATACATCTTAAAAATTACTGAGGTTGAGAAACACTGGTTTAAGTAATGATCACCTTAATGTTCTCTCACTCAACGTGCTTAACAGCTTTGATGAAGACAGAAAATGTCAAAGGTGTATCATCTCTTCAGCAGCATTAGTTCAAATTGCATTAACTTCATTTTTTTTCCTCCTGCTTCCCAAGATATTGAGCTGCTTCATGAAGATTTTACAAACATTGAACCCACTTATTCCAAACTGCAGAAAGTGAAAGTGATTTTGCTCCTGCCTCGCTGTTCAGGCCTGGGTGTTAGCAATCCAATTGAATTTATTTTAAAAGAGCATGAAGGTAACTTAGAGTTAATTACCAAAGATTTTTGTTGCCTAATTTTAGATAGTGATGCTTCTCTCTGTTGCATTTCTGTTCACAGTCTAAATCCTCCCCCGCTCCTCCTCCCCCTCCCCCCCATCTTCTCACATGGAAGTACAGTTTTCCACCATTTTTAGAGAAGCAATACACAAAACTTGTAGAATAAGTTTTTAAATATATTTAAGACAATGTCAAGAAACAAAAGCCCTCTTCCAAAATTGACCCCTGTTGAAGAACTCTGGTCCTGCCATGAGGATCATGTGGCCACATCCTTTTTGCTTATAGCTTGTTCATGGCCCTTCAGGGATTATCTTAAATAATGACTATGTTAATGCAGCATGTTCAAGTTTAGTGCCACATTACCTACAGCTGGGGACTAACAGCCCTGTTAGGCCTTGAAACAATGAAGCTGGTTGCCTTGATACCTTTCCTGACCTTCTCTGCTTCCTGGAAGGAAAATCATGATGGTCCAGGCAAGGTGGCTGCCAGCCTGTGGGGGTTGGGAGCGGCTCGGCTCCCGCTGGAGTGACTCCATGCTGTGACTCTGTGAGCACCCCGCTCGGTGCTTCATGGACCTATCGCAGTTTCCAGGAACCAGCAAACCAGAGATTGAGTTTTGGGCAAGTTAACCAAACTCAATCCATGATTTCACACTGAAAGGAGGTGCAACGTTGAAACACACTGAATTCTAGCATGTATAAACCAGGTTGATATCAGCCATCTTCAAGCACCATGCCTGACTTTGGGAAGCGCTGCGTAGCACTTTGCTAGCTGCTCCTGTTAATTTTAAATGAGAACGCAGATGGTAATCGTTCTTTTCTGACCACTAATATCCCATTGTATTTATTTGTTCTTTTTCATTTTCTCTTTAGATGCAGACTTACTTAGAGATCTCTCTCAAGGATCAGTAGCCGAAGATAAACTGAGCACGCTTGCTCAACAGCAGCTGAAAGAGCTGACACATGCAATGCAGTGTGAGTTTATTTGTCATGAACTAAATCATAATGACAGGTGAAATCGGGTGTATCTAACACACACACATCCTCCCCAATTTCTGTTACCCAGTTCCTTCTCTGTTATTAAAAGCAAGATTCTTTTCTCCCGTACACTAAATCCTCAGTGTTACAGATCTTAATTTAGCAGACTTTGGGTGTAATGGACAAAATCTGAATTTCAAGCTCTAACAGTCTCTGCCCCAACCAGCAGACAGTCTGTTAATTCCTGAATCGCTCTGACAGCATCTGCACATTTTGCATAAATTTCACATCCATTTTGCATGCATTGCAGACATTTGACCCCAGCATAAAAGCTTATTAATTGGTCAAGAGAGATTCAGCTCTAGTTGACCCCCCCCATTAGTCTTTAACATTGGTGGTTGAATGATTACAAGTGAAATTTAAAAGAAAATGTTGGGACCTATAATAAAAACCAAGTCTTCTTTTGTTCATTTGAAATGCTTCAGCACACCTTTGTCAAATCATTTCTGTATTGTGATGTTGGTCAGTCATGCAAGTGAGTGGTTTTAGGGACCACTCCGGAAGGACGAGCTGACACTGCTTGGCCACTTCTTGGGAGCAGGGCACTCAGTCTCCTGAACTGGCAAAGAAAAATTAAAAAAGGAGGGGGGTGTTGCCAGATCAGTTTTGTTCTTAATGATTTGGCTGGAATTGAGGTCCCAGATTTGTTCTAGCCTAGCCTGGGGGAACCAGGAGCGTCTGTAGTAGGGATTGAAGAGGGGCAGATGGCGAAAACAGTATTGTCCTGCAAGTCTGCCCCTTTGTATGAGGATTATGGCATTGCACACAGGCCAAAAAAGGATGTAGTTTATGGCATGATGCTCGTCTTGTCCCTTTGACGAAAGCGGGAAACTCTGCAGATACTCATGGGGGAAAGCGGACAAGAAAAAGACCAGCCGTCATTTGATTCTGCCTTTTGGTTAAACGAAAGGAGGAATATCCCGTAGGCAACCTTGGGGACCAGTGGCACAAAGTTGGATGCTGAGAATGTGGTGTGCATGGTCTCACCACTGGCTACCAGGGGAGCTGGCCTGTTTGCAAGATGGCTTGCATGGTTGGTGAGAAGCATCCTTTTACCAGAAGGCAAACGGGTGACGTAGCTCTGTTCTGCCAAGAGGTTCTCCACCATTCCATGCACTTCCAAATAAAGCACTGGGCAACCTTCCTTCCACAGGAGGTTGGGGGGGAGGGTCACAGGCATCCATGCCTTGGTCACTTCCCAGTTGGATTACCACAACACGCTGTACAAGGGGCTGCCCTTGAAGACCATCTGGAAATGACAGTTGGCCCAGAATGCAGCAGCATGAGTAGTTTTGGGCACCTCTCAGTTTGCCGGTATTATACCACGGCTGCCCAGGCTGCACTTTCTGGATGCAATATAAGGTGCTGGCTCTCACCTCTAATGCCTGGCACGGCGCAGGGCAGAGTTATTTACAGGGTTGCCTCTCCCTGAGGGTATTTGCCCATCCACCAAGTCAGATAGGGTGGGTGTGCTCTTCCCTTAAAGGTGGTCATCTAGTGCAGTGTTTCTCAGCCTTGTCAGCTTCAAGATGTATGGACTTCAACCCCCAGAATTCCCCAGCCAGCATGGGAAGGATGAGAAACACTCATCTAGCGGGACCTAGGAAGAGTTTCTTTTGAGTAGCTGGCCCTCCCCTCTGGAACACCGTCCCCTCTGAGATCCAGCAGGTTCCAACCCACTTAGCCTTCTGGAAGGCCTTAAAAAGCTGGCTTTTCCATCATGCCTTTGGATAGAGTGAGGCTGGAGTCCAGTGACTGTCATTTTTTACGTATTGGGGAATGTTATTTTAGGGTGCTGGGAATTGTTGTTTTGGGCTGTTGTGTTTTGTTGTGTTTTATGTTCCTATCACTGCTGCTATGAGCTGTCAGAGTTACGGCACGTAAGATGGGAGGCCATTGAAGCCTTTTAAATAGATAGTTGTTTTTTTTTAAGTCAAGATGGCAGGTGTGGCTGCAGGGTTGAAGCCCTGCCCCTTTTTACACACGTCCCCCCCAAAGAGGCAGGGCTTTGATCCCATAGTTTCAGCTGCCATCTTGACTTGTTTTTACCTCCCTTTTGGCTGCTCCCGTTCCCCTCTCTCTAATTCCTAAAAAGGTCTTGAGGGCCCAGAGATGTTCCTGGATATAAGAATTATGCTAGAAGTAGGTCCTTTGCTTTTCAACAGGACAGCTTTCTATTTGATTTGTTTACTCTTACCAATGAAATGTTTAAAAAATTGGGTGGGCAATCGTTCCCAAAATATAATAATATAAAAAAATTAAGAGAGATGAAAAATGAAAAGCAAAATAAACAATCGTTGCAACAGCAGCAGATAAAAAAAACGGCAGGCAAAGTATAAGAACACATTGCCGACTAAGTAATACCGCTCTAAGTAACAATAATAGTCCCTTGCCTGCTGGCTGGACGTTGTGGAAGAGCTGACAAGATTCTTTCCTAATGACTATCGTTGGTAAGATCCGGTTGCAATTAAAAGCTGCAAGGGGAGAAGACGATGACCAGAAGAAAAGAGGGCTGGTAGAGCCAAGAGTGAAGGGCTTGTGAAAAAGAGTTCAGTGCTCAATAATCTTGGAATGATGAAGCTAGCATGTGAACCTCAGGCAGTGAGTGTCTAGCAGAAAACAGGACTGCCTCTGATAAAGTGTGAATTCCTGGTTGTTTGATGAACAAGAATGTGCTTAATTAGGCCATTTGGATCAGCCTTTAGAAGTTTCTTCAAAGCTTGTTGTTAAATGTCATTTTAACTGGACTAAGCCTGGTCTTGAATCCCTGCAGTTGCTAAAGTGCAAGCCGTGGTCTACTGCACCTGCTCAGTGTACCCAGAAGAAAATGAAGTGGTGGTGAACAAAGCCTTGGCCTCTGGAGCGGAAGGAGCAAAGGCCCAGCCGTACAAGTAAAGAACACGCTTTGGCTACTTTCCTCAACAAGTATTTCCGCCTGTTGTTTGCAGAAGGCCTGTGTGAGGCACCCGTAGCCCCCACACGGCCGTTTGTGTCACAGAGGCAACAGAGTGCGCCTCCCTGAGGTGTGGAGGGAATACCCCTTTGACTGGTTGAGGCTCCAGATCTCATTCCTCCAGATGCCTCTGGCAGGTCCATTAGCAGAGGCTTCTGCAGTGGCATTTCTACAGAGAATTGGCAGCGCCAGAGGAGTCTGCTGGAGCAATGTGAGAGGTTTCCTTCCCTCTTCAGAAGAAGGCTAGTGCACAATGCCTCAGCAAGGCATCCTTCAGAGCTTGGGCAGCCCTGTCTGGGGCGTTCAGGGTGCCTCTGTATTTCATATCCTGGCCCAGAAGTGCATAGAAAGCAGGGTGGGAGTGTATACTCCACTTCAGCTGTATCGCTTGTAGCAGTGTCACCCGTTTAAAAATTCTACTCCTTGGGTGTGCTTCCGTACCTTGTTAACTCATGCTTACATAAACCATGATTTACTGAATGATCCATTTGCCTGCATTTGCACAATGCTGCCTGGATTCCATCAGCACACTGAGTCAGAAACTAGCTCGTTGCATTTTAGTTTACTCTGGGGGTTCTCACATTTGGTGCTACCATTGACCCCCTAAAATGATAGGCGAATTTGTGAAACCACCCAGAAAAAAAAAAACATACATAAAAGAACGGACATAAAAGAAAATAACATTTTTTTAACAGTGCCCTGTCCTTGACTAACCACAAAATATTGATCTTTCCATGTTAATAAAAATTGCCAGTTCATAGGCAGCACCAAGCACACGTTGGGGTGGGTTATCAAAAAATTCAGCATCTCTGCAATCTAAGCCCTGTCTCTTTTTTAATGAGCATCATACATGCAATGCAGGGAGAAGAGGGGCGAGGCTTTGATAGGTGCTCATGGCCACCATCTTGACTTTTGAGACAGATGTGCATCTGTATATCACTCCAGGATTTTAGATTAGGCACAGCAGAATCCTTCAGTCAACTAAAACAATATTTTTGGCAAATACAGGTAGTCCTTGACTTACTACCATTCATTTAGCAGCTGTTTGACATTACAGCGGTGCTGAAAAAAGTGACTGAAAACAGGCCCTCACACTTATGACTGTGGCAGCGTCCCTGTGGTTCATGTGATTGTGATTCAGGCTCTTGGCAACCATCACACATTTATGACAGTTGCAGAGTCTTGCAGTCATGTGATTGCCATTTGCAACCTTTCAACAAGCTTCAATGGGGAAGCTAGCAGGAATGTCCAAGTGGCTGTTGTGTGATGTATCGCTTAATGACTGCAGCAGAAAAGGTCGTAAAATTGGGTGCAGTCACATGATGCCTCACTTAACGTCTGCACTGCTTAACGATGAATTTTCCGGTCCCAATTGTGGTTGTAAGTTGAGGACTACCTGTACTTCATCTGGTCATCCTGAATTGATACATTCTGAATGTTCAGGATACCGTTTGACATCACAGTGACATCTCTGAATATGATCTTGAACCTTATACTGAAAATTCCCATATTAATCAATATTGGAACAGGCCGACAATATGTCCAACAATAATCCTATCAACACAAATATGCTTCTATTATACTAAGGTTGACAGCCAATCTTTATGAAGCATCCTCATGCTTACTATTGTGGATCTCATTTGGAAACTTTTGAAGGTGGATTGTAGCTTTGAAAAATCTTAAAAACTGCTACATTATATCTATAGTTAATAATTGCCAAATTATGGCATCATATATTTTCTTGGACTCTGAAGTAGATTTGCAGGCCTGAGACAGAATCCCATCAAGTCTATATTGTTAGATGGGCTCTGTATCATGTGTAGTTTCATATAATTCAAGCAAATAGAAATACTTGAATTATGGGGTATGTGTGGGAAGACGGGGTTCTTTGGATCCCAGCTTGTTTAGTTACTAAACAATTTAGTCCCAGTTGCTTAGTGTAGCTTTTGAAAATTACAGAGAATGAATTGACTCACGTTGATTTTACACGGCGGCCTCAGTACCATACGTTTGCATCCACCCTAGGCTTTGCCCACCAGTTCTTCCTTTGTGTTCTAAGCTGGAAGTCAATTCATCTGCGGAGAACTTTTTCCGGCTGGAGCCCTCGGATATTTCTAATAGCTGTTTTATAGCTGTTTTAGGCCGAGAGGTGAGTAATGAGTTTCCTCAGCCCACGAGAAAGGGGAGTGAAGCATGGCGTCTGTTCAGATGCTTAGTATTGGCGTAGATCAGCATTCAGGCTGCCTTGCACGCGTTGCCGTCGTCAGGCTTCCAAGACGAGAAGTCCTGCACTTTAGGTTGGAAATTGTGGGTTGGGGGGCAGGGGTTGAGATAGGGTTGCTAAAACAGAAGGCAGTCGGGGGTCGGCAAGGAACAAATTGTTTGGAAGGCTCTGCGAGTGTTGGGATTTTCCTAATTTTTGCTGTAATCCCTCAGGATGGCTTCTAAGTGCCAAATTATCCTTGCACACTGCATTTGATGTGCTGTGGAGAGTTGTCGTTTTGGGGAAAAGAGGGAGTCTCTGCCTCTTCCTCCAATCCTGCATAACATCCCATGAAGCCTTGGGCAGGGCAGCATGACCGAGTCTCTGTTACATCAGTGGGACCCTTTCCCCAGTAGCCAGGCAATGGGTGTGGCATGGATGCATGTCAGCACGTGGGAGGCATGTTTGGGGCTTCCAGATTTCAGCTCCCGGGCCTCCCCTTGAGGATTCCTCACTTCAAGAAGAGGAGAAATTGGCAGGATCACAGCTTCAAGAAAAGGCAAGATTGTGGACAAGACAGTAGAAGGTCATCTTGTGGAGTTTCACTCCAGGTTCTAGAGCAGTGTTTCTCAACCTTGGCAACTTTAAGATGTGTGAACTTCATCTTCCAGAATTCCCCCGCCAGCCATGTAAAATAAAGCAGACTTGGAGATCATTCTGCTTAGCCCTTAAGTACGTGTAGCTGTGTTTCTGATAGAGTCACCTCTTCCCAGTATAAAGACGTTTCCTTGGGTTTCTTCTCTGCTGGGAACAACTTTGAAGTTTCTGTTTTATTGCTCAGTCTCTGCTTTCTTATGTACAGAGACTGCTGAAATTATGTTTTTGAATTTGTGTGGCTTTTGACCCTATGAGCTGTTTCCGGCATAATCCTTAATTCTTGTTCACTTGGTAAATTAGATTGCAAAGCTTATTTACTTTCTATAATGCTGGGCTAAATTTTAATTTCAGCACCCATATTTTATTGCTGGATTTAGGCCATAAAACAGGACATGAGCAGTGAGTTTTCTCATATTTTAGCCTGCTCTGTATTGTCAATTCTTTTTCTTCAGATTTACACACTGTTGCACAACTAAATGAGTTTTGATGTTTGCACAGCGTAACTGACCAAAGGATAGTTTAGCCCACAACTACTCCAGCTGTTTGGGGTTAAAGATGCCCCTCTCAACCAACAGTGTTGAGTTTCACATTCATACGTTTGCCCCACTATTTACCCAGATAAGTATGTCATGCGAAGCCATCCTTTGTATCCAACTTAATAACTTTGGTAGCCATATCTAGGAATTACAAGTTTTTCATTCCAGAAAATGCAACTAGTTACAAACAGCCATTCTTAGAACAATAGCAAGTACTGTAACAGTTTCTGGATTCCAAATAATGCCTTTGATTTGCAGCTGAAATTGAAACATTCTGCATTGTGAGGCTTTGAGTAGACTTACTCACATTCCTTTATTTAGGGCTACAACAGGTAACAAGGTCACCCATGATTAAATGGTAGAGATGGGAAGTGAATTTAGGCCCAAAGCAATCTTTTTTGGATTGTGTTAACTGAGTATTGTGGGCTTTCTGATAGTATTTAAGTAGATAAATAGTTTTCTATTATTACAAGGATGAGTGACCATGGATTTACTAAATGTTGAGCTTACTTGGTATAGATAATGCTGAAGGATGGGAATTGTGACCCAGGAAATGAGGAAGACCACCTGTTGGCCATCCTTGTTGCACTTCACCATCCTTGCTTAATAGATCTGGAACACGGTGCCGCTTGAGCAGTAAGGCAAAATGTTGGAGCCCGCTAGATGCTTGTTAGGGGCAAGATTTGGCAGGTCTGTGTCAAGGTCTGGAAAACAGTTTAACGTTTCACGTAACTTGAATTTTCAATATTGCTATATATACAGTAGTTCACTGGTGGGGTTCAGCTGTGCTAATTTGCATTCTTTTATTTGTGTAGAGAGATCCATCTGAGTCTGTGTCCGTGAAAGATGTTTTAGCTCGTGCCGCAGCAAAAGGATTGCTGGAAGGTATCGATTTAGCAAAGCCCTCTAAGAAAGAAGAAAAAAAGAAAAAGAAGCACAAAGTAATCCAGGCGAAGAATCCGGTTAAAGAGGCAGTGATGCAATCTCGGATTCAGGAGTTCCTGGAACGAGAGATGAAACCTGGCATGACTGATACGGACTCTTCCATATCTAGCGTGGTTGCCAGTACTTCTCAGGTGATGACTCAAACCAGTGAGTCCGCAGCCTTGAAGAAACCAGCCCACCCCCTCTCAAACTCCTCTCTGCCTGTGATGGCAAAGAGTAGCCTCACCGCCACCTCATCCATGCAAAAAGTACTTGAGAAACAACGGAATGCCAGGAAACCCAAGTCCGATGATCGGGTCATGATCTTGAAACCTGTTGAGATTGTCCTGCCTCCCGTGATGATGCCTTATTTTAACCCACAAGGGAACAGGGCCCAGATCTCATCTAATCACTATTATTATCGTTGGGTTGGTGCAAAAAATGGAACACTAAGCCCTTCAGCATCCAAAAAACTGATTAAGTCAAAAGAGCCCTCCCCATCGTCGATGGCCAAGCAATCTCGTCCGTGGCTTTGAAGACGTCCCGATCTTTATTTCTTCAGAACTTGAGACCGATGTTCATCTTACTGTAAACTCCTGAATATCATTTGGGCGCTAAATGTAAGAAGCAAAGTGCTTTTAGAAAGCAATTAAAATGCTGATCTCTTCATGGCTATTATGAATGTAGCAGAGGAGCTGTTTTGCAAAGGTTTTTATTACGTAATGCTTGCATCCAGTTTCAGTACCTTTTGAATGTCAAAAGATCTAATATTCACACTTGGATTATGCAGATCATTGGAGGAAACTCTATAAAGGTTTATATGGGCAATAGCTAATTAGTTTTAAGCCACAACAGAGACATATTTTGTCTGAATGCATCTAAAGCTACTGAATTTTAAGGCTAGCCATTACCATTATAAATGAAAACAGGCTATACAGATAGAAAAGGGTGATAATTGTTTATTCCTGAGGTGTTTCACATCATTCCTCTTGGGAATTTGGAATATGTTGCCTTTTTCTGCCTTTAGAAGATCACTCCTGGCCTGCAAAACGATCCTTGAAGACTTCAGCCTGGTTTATAATCCACTCAGTCTTCCCTTAAGAAAGAACAGCTTTTTAAAAAAAGTTTATAGCTGTCACTGCTTTGAAAGATAAATGGTAACTACAAGAAAGTTAAAACATTTGGACAAAAGAATTTTTCTGGCTTTGTTGGTGTAACAGCATCATTATTACATCCTTTCATTTAGCTTCAACATGACATCGATTTTCATTAGCAAGTCAGTATAAATCATCAAGTTATTATGCCATATGGTTAACTGGAAACAAAGCATATTAAACAATTCCTGATTAATTATTTTCTTAACTGTAGTTTTTTATTTCCCCCCTGGAAAGCAGCAAATTGGTTGGCTTGGTTGTGACATGCACATTTTGGAGCTGATTTGTGCGTTACAGAAAAGATGAAGTTCTTCATAGGCTAATTGCAGACTTTCTAGAATAACTGATGGGCATTCGTTTGTTTAAGGTATAAACCTATTTCTTGAAGCTGGGCTTCTCAGATGTCTCTTCCCACATTTTCAAACTGTCCTTGAATATAATGAAAAAAAATGCAGTACAATATCGAAGTATGTATTATTTGTTAGAGTTGTATTAAGTTTGTATACAGCAAGAATGAAATATTTGTCCACAAGTGATTGGAACAGGATGCATCATAGGCAACAAAGCTTTGCTGTGAGTTGACTGGTGAGCAAGGACCAATAAACTCCAGGGTGAGCAGAGAATTTTGTTCCAGGGCAGAGAATTCTAATAGTTCCACTGAAAATGTATATTCTCTAGGATACTTGTAAAACCCAGTCTAGTCTACTAAAATGTAAGGGAAAATATAGGTTGGATGGGACCTTATCTAGTCCAGTCTCCTGTTTCAGTGCAGGAATGCACTAAATCATCCCTGCCTGGTGGCTGTCCAGCCTCTGAGAAACTTCCAGTGAGGGGGGTCCACTCTTGTTCAAGGAAGATCACTGCCCTGCATTACCACCAGCAAAATCTTCCAATATCCAGCATCAGCTCCTATCTTTTGATTTGAAGCTGTTAGACCTTCTTCAGCTCTTGGATTCAGGAGAAACCAGGTCTATCCTTAAGCTTGCCCCCTTATCAGCTTGATAGGCCTCAGAATCCACTTCAGGTTCTCTATGTCCCTTTTTAAGGTGTGGTGGCTAGTTCTGACAAAGTACTCCAAGTGAGAGCCAACCAGCACAGAATACAATGGGATCGCTCTGCTGTCTGTCAGTCTAGCCCAAGATTGCATTACATTGAATTTTTAGCTGCTGCATCACATTGCTTGCTCATGTTCAGCCAATGGTCAGCTAATAATTTTAGCTCGTTCTTACATGCCCTGCTGCCTAATGAGGTCTTGCCAATCCTGTATTTATCGATCTGATTTTTCTTACTGATACATAGGGCTTGCTGTGCCACAGTTGAACATCATTCCAATGTTCAAACTTGAGGTCATTATAAATTATCCTTGATGGTGTTAGCCAATCCCCTTCAAAATCTGGTAACCACCTCTTCCATTCAAACCCTGTTATTTATAAAGATACCAAACAGCTCCAGATCAAAAATGAAACCCTTCCAGGACAAGGCAGAACCTTCTACAGGTATACTTGGGGTCCGTTGCACCAATGTCCATAATGTTTGCTTGTTTAGGTGCCCCATAATACATGCTGAAAACTACAATTCTGTTTCTTACTTTTTAATCTTACCCAAACACTTTCACAGGACTCGAACATTTAGGGGCATTTATTTTTTCAAAAGCCTAGGCCTTTTTCACATTCAGAGCCATTTTGCCTCCTTGGGGGTCGGGGGGGCGGGATGTCTTTTGAAGAAGTAACGTCCTTCAAATTCTACATTCCATTCATGACTTCATACCACCAAGTTCCATGATAATAGGTCATGTCTGTTCCCCAAATGTAAAATTTCTAATTCCTCTTTTGATTATTGAAGGGATTGTCCTTGTATAACAAATAGATAAATTATTTGTCTCCATGTGGTTAAGTAGGAATGGATACCAATAATTTGGTATCGTGCACCAGGAAGGCCCCATATTCCTTGCAATGGATAAGCCTAGTCTTTATTCAGCTGTGAAACAGTTGCTTAAGGTCATACAAGATGACTTGCCTTTGCTTAATAGTTCTCCATTACATGACTGAAATGGCTTTATCAATCCCCTTGGCTTAAGAGCCAGTTTGCACCAGGCAACACATTTCTGCTCATTCTGCCTGCGCATCCTTCCTTTCTACCCAGTCATAGTAGGTGGTGGTTCTTAGCTACTCTTGGCCTAATGTTAAACATGGATGAGCTTGGATAGCTCTTGGATGGGATACCATTAGAAAACCTCGGATGTAGAGTAGACTGGGAAAAGAATTGAATGGGTGTAGAACTCAAGCCTTCACCCACCTACAAACACATGCCAGATGTCAAGATCATATGTATATCCCACTTTCTTAGCTCACTGGCTGGGTCATATATTTATCTGGAAAAGAGCAGTATAATTATTTCTGTACCGAAGAAAGGTGACCCAAGCACCCATGATTCAGCAGATATTAGAACTGGATACTAGTTGAACTTCTGAGCCCTGGTCCTACAAGGGCTTAATGGAGTAGACAAATCTGTTCTGCAGTCTACTTGAGGCACAGAGTTCCTATCTCCAGCTGGGTTGGTTTCAGGTCAATGCCATTCATCAGATCAAATCTGGGACCTGCATTTGCATTGTATGCTTCAGGAAATACATAGATGTCCCTCCTTTCCAATAACGTTTCAAAAGTGTGGTGCTCTTTGATGAGCTCGTCTGTACTTTCTGCAATAGGGTCTATCTTGCCCAGGATCTGCTCAAAGCAAAATCAGAGAAATGGACTTCCACCAAGATTCCAGGCAGAACTCATTTTAATCTGGATATAGTGCCATGAACCACTACTCTGATTAAGCTACTGCATCCAATTTGTGAGGTAGCCCTGAATGGGCTTTACTTGACATCAAAATATTCAAATATTCCAAAATTCCTTTTCTTGCTTTTAAGATACTGGGCCTTTTAAAAATGTTCTCCATTCCATATTTTAAACTGGAAGCTCTAGAAGAAAGAATTACCATTTGCTTTCGCCGAGGGCAGCAGCATCCATGGTCGGATTAAAAAAAAAAGCCAAGATGGCTCTGAGTGAAGCCCCAAATCCCGTTTTTACGTATGGCCTTAAATCTCATGATTGCAGCCACCACCCTGACTTTTTTTACCGCCCTGGCAGATGATAAGCACGCTTGGAGCAATGCTGTCTTCTCCGCCTTCCTCCACTCAGCAGCAGCAGCAGCACCAGCACCCTAAAAGTCTCGACCTGGCAAAAAGAACGCTCAACTCCAACCTCATGAATGCGAGACAAGCAGTTAATGTAATTAAATTTATTCTTGCAATGGATTACATTTAAATGTGTAAGAGGTGGACAATGTTGGGGGGGGAAAGCTTGCTTTCAAAACGGGGTATTTCCCCTAGTACAAAGAGCTCTCGCTGATGAACTGTGTGCGTTTCGTCCCTTCCCCTTTGGCGGAAGACCTGCCTATATGTACTCTTCCTTCGAACTAATTCTGCCCGCCAAAGAGAGGAGCTGATGATCAAAATGACAAGAGCTCCAGATCAAGAGGCAGTGACCTCTGAGGCGAGCGCCATAAAAGTAAGACCTTTCCTTTAGGGGTGCCTGCTGACTCTTTGCCTTAAGAATCCTCCTGCAAAGACGAGGCCCTTGGAAAATTTGGAAAATGGATTTCGAGGCCGCTCGAAGCCCCCACCCACAACCCGCTCCTCTCTTCAAAGCATGGCCGTTCTGCACACAGTTTATCGCTCAGAGCTCCTTGCATTAGAAACAGGCCTGATGCCCTTCCACGCAGCTGATTTCTTCTTGTAAGTGGCTCTTCATTTTTATGAACAAGGCAAGGAAAGAAAGAGTCGGCGAAGGACTAGACTGCTTTAAAGAAATGCTGTGGGCGAAGGGAGAAGAAAGGCATTAAGCGATTACAAATGGCTGTAACTGATCCCCTTTCTTCGGGAGAGTAGATGAATGAGGCGGCCTATGAAAGCAGCATCTAACTCGGTTTTTGTGTTTTAAAAAATAATAGAAGTTATTACACGTCATCTTACCCTTTCCTCCTATGTAATTAAAAAGGTGACTACAAATAATTAGAAAAGTCTTCTGTCTTTTGGCAACCTACAGTACACTGAGTTTAGTTAGGGCTGGATTTATGGGTGAGCTTGCATCCAGTTCACAACCGATGCCCTGTAATCGAATAGCTCGGTAAAAATAGAATAAAATATTTAAGCTGCGTTGAACCGGTTAATCAAAAACAGACGCGAGATAGCCAAGGCGTCGGGCCTTGCCAAGAGATACAAAGAGTGCATAGATCACTGAAGGATCACCACAACACTGAGTAAAGTCACTGGTGTTTGTTCACACTTCAGCCATCATCCGTTTGCGGTGGGTGGGTGGGTCGCTTTATTTGCGAGGATTCAGAAATGCCCCGTGGGATCACGGCCAGCCCGCGCCCCTGCCAGCAGCTCCCTGAATCTTTTCCCGTAGCTAACGCTCAGTAGACGCTCTCGGAGAAATCCGATGGATCTCTCAAGCACGTTTAAAAAGCTTGACTTGAAATGGCTTTCTCTGTCAGCCAGCACAGCTGAACACTGAAATCTCACTGAAGTTTAAAACTCCTATTCATTCGGTAACCGGTCCCAAGACAAAATATTCTGTCTTCTCTACTTCCTGCCAAGCAGATTGCCATCCAGAAAAACAACTGGCTTATTAAATACACAGAATTCCTGGGTAGGGACATCGACAGGGTGGGGTGGGTGTCACAGAAGTCAAGATGGTGGCCAGAATCACACAATACAGCCCCACCCCACGTAGAAAAGAGGCGGGGCTTTGATCAGGGCCACCATCTTGATTTTTTTCAATATTCCCCACCGTGGATGCCTCCTGCATTAAGTATCTACATTGTGTATCCCTTATGAAATCGATTATTCCAAGTAACATGTGAAAATAATGTTGTTAGCATGCACTTTCTGAAAATGGGGGGGGGGTATAAAAAGGTTGGGTTCTTCCAGAGTGAGTTGCAAACGGCAGCCCTTAAATCAGATCTACATCTCTGCACGTCCCTCCCACAGAAGTATATCTTCTTTGCATAGGTGGTTATGTCAGAACATTAGAAAATAAAAAGGTTGCCTTGCGCTAAAAGATGTATTGATTTTTACACATAGGCTTACTTCTTAGGACTCGACACCCTGAAATATACATATACACATATATCTATCTAGCCAGCTACATAGCTTAAAAACGGAGGAAGACTCTTATTGTTTTTAGATGTGGAGCCCCGTGGTCTAGTTCCCACATGCATGACGAACCAACACTTGAACTGGTGGACTTCAATCCACCACTGGATTGATGGGGATGTGATTCTGGTAGGGTGACACCATCACAGACGAGTCACAACTTGATGTTCTGGTGTGAAACACGCACAGCTTTCTGCTGCCTCTCGTGAGTATCGAAAGCTTAGCGTAACACTCAACCAGGCAGGAGCTGTTCCTCGGAGCAAGAGGAAGCAGCCGTGCGCTTTTCTGGGATAGGTGAAGATATGAAAGAACTTGCAGAGTGGCTGTTTTGGAGGTCCACCTCGACCTTCTACTCTATGCTGTTCCCGGGCACTTCTTTTCACTCGTGTTGTTCTCTGGCTCTTGCAGCTGAGTCAGGGCCAGCCCACAGGCAGCAGTCACGCCCTGTGGTGCAAGAAAAGAGCACGCCTACGTTGCAGTGGTGTTTAGGCCGACAAGTTACAATTGTGTCAAGTGCAAGCAGAACAGATGAGCGTTCAGGATGCATGGTTCAGACACACGCTTTTCCTAAACTGGAAACAAAATTGTCCAAGAACCTCTACATCTCTCAAGGCTGGATCCTGCTATGGCAGCCACATTCAGAGGACAACCATTTGGGGAAGGTTGCTTTAGGCCAATGTTGTTCAAACTTGGCAACTTTAAGACGTGTGGACTTCAGCTCCCAGAATCCCCCAGATTCTGGGAGTTGAAGTCCACACATCTTAAAGTTGCCAAGTTTGAAAAACACTGCTCTAGGCTGATGGAGATGGGATTCCATCTTTTAGATGGGACAGGCTAAGGGAGTGCAGTTTTGGCTGGTGGGTTTGCACTTTTCAAACGTTTGGTCGAATTGGAATTGGGGTCCCATTTCTCCCCTTCTCTCTAATGGGAGATGCCGAAACCAAGAGCACGTCAGCCTCGCTTCTCTTTCTCATTAAGAAAAGTGTGCAAGATCTTCCTCTTGAGACCACAGCCTCCCTCCTACCTCTGCCCCCACATAGGTCTGTCCCGACTAAAAAGGAGTTCTAAGGTTTTTCCTTTGGCAGAGCATCTGGTGAACTTGTGCTACACAGTATACACATGACAAATAGTACACACAAAATGATTAAACAGTCAACAAAAACAAGGGGGGCTGTAAGGTGGGATCCAAAAGTCAAGATGTCCGTCACCGTGGTGCGATCAAAGCTCCGCTTGTGATGTACATAAGAAATGGGTGGAGCTTCAACGGCAGCACTGTGACCATCATCTTGAGCTTTTTCTTGACAAATCCTGTGGACATCCTGGTCAATGGAAACAACACATCACGTAAGGTGCAATTACAAGGTAGAAGGGTGCTTGCCATGACACGTGCTACTTGGAATTTCAGAAGCCAACCACCATAATCTATTTGCATCACACCCAAAATCTATGAAAGAAAGCATCGTTTCTTATTTTAAACTCACCAGAAAATAAAGTTCCTAAGAAAGCCGCAAAGCAGAATGGATTTTGCACAGCAAAGCTGCTGCCTCAGCCCCCAACTTGGTGGAAAGAAATGAAAGGGCATGATGTGAATGTTAAGAATTCAAGTAAGAGGAAATCCGTGACTGTGTACCAGGTTGCCTCTGTGCAAGTCTATCAGTTAAGAAAAGTAACTAGTGAACATTCTTTTTTTTTCCACTGACATTTATATATATTAATGGTCAAGTACCAATGTACATTTTGAATGCACCAGCCGACTCTATTGCATGCGTTTTATAATGAGGGAAAGCCGTGAGTCTGACGTTACAGTTTTAGCCTCGTCTACCCCATCAGCCTGAAGCGACTAGCTTCGCGCGTGTATCCCAGCGAAATGTACAAAAGAACAGGACCTATGGGAGGGTAAGGGCACTTGAGCCTTAGCATCATCAGGGTTGGGGGTGGATTCTGTCCCAGAATAAAACCCAGCCTAACCTGCCCAACTTCTCAAATATGGATTAGTACACAAACAAATGCAATTCCAGGACTGAAGGCCACTTGAAGTACGGTATTTTTCCTACACGGGCAGCCCTTCTCTGAAAGAAAAACCACACAAACCACAGAGAGAGATTTTATGTGACAACGGTACACTTCTGTCTTCTTCACTGTATATACATTTGTGCTAGAAAGAAACAATGAAGGACGGATTCTCCACGCTGGCCTGTGCAGGGACCCAGACATGCACGGGGTTGCCACAGGCTGCTGGAGCCCAGCGGGGCCGTGCCTTCCTCCACCGAAGGGTCTCTCCGCTGCAGCACACCTACGCTCACGGGTCCGAGGTTAAGTTATTACTACGGTGCACAAGATGGAAGGTTAATTACGAATGTTCTTTTGTAAAAAATAAGAAGCTTGGTATTAGTAGTATAATAATACACCAGTAACTAATACTTGGTATGTATCTCACTGTTAAAAAAGAGGGCAAAGTGCTCAGGGAGCGATGAGGATCATCAGACTCGTTCTTGGCAAAGACGAGGAGCCCATGGGCTGCATTCTTTTCTTCCGGATGTGGGAATTTAAGTAACGTTCATACTATGTACAATCAGAAGGCAGGCCTTCTGCTTCTCGAGGAGCAGAGCTCACGGGGGGAAAAAAATCATGCTTCTTTTCGTATTACTTGGTGGCGGCAAGAGTGAGAACATGCTTGTCTAATATTATTTTGGATAAAAGACGAAGACGATTTCAATGGAAGGCCATCATCCAGTCCCCTCCCTCTGAACGCAGACGCTGCACCTCTTGCGCGACCTTTTCGGAACGCCGCAGGTCCGTCACGGCATGTCAGTCACAGGACGCTTCTGTTTCAGAGTGTCAATCAGGGACAAGACCCCGCGTTTTACGTTGGCGGTGACTCTCCTGGACACGGAGTCTGCTGGAGGAGGCGGCGGGCGGACTTTCTGAGAAAGGGGTCGGGCCACCAGGCACTTCTGATACCGCAGCTGCAACACAGCAAACGTAGTCAGCATTAGCACGCGTTCCCATCTCTAGGCTTCCTATCGCTGCAGGAAAAGATAGCTCAAAGGGGGTTGTTTAGCCCGGAGAAGAAGATGCCTCTCCCACTGAAGCAAAACTGATTTTATGGAGAACTTCGGTACCGGCGGCTGGCTGAAGAGAGGTGGAGTTAGGAGGCTTAGCCCTCTTAATTCACACATGCAAATCGTCTCTTCCATTTGATTGGTTGCCTTATAATTACAAATAATCAACTTAATAGTCATTACTGGTACGCATTGACAAAAACCACCTTTATTAGTGGGATCCAGTTCATTCTTACTTAAATGCCCCATTAGAGGCGTATTAGACGAGGTCACCCTCCTTTACATCATAGAAACCTTCCCTTTAAACAATGACCCCTTGAATTGATTTATGTTCTTTTTCCCTAGCTGCTAACTGAGAAATCCTTGGTTCTCAGCAGCCAGTCTGCACCCTTCACCTATCTTGTTAGCACCTGGTTAGTTCAAGCACAGCTGTGGCTTCCAGGCACCGGCTGGCTTCTGCTGAGTCTACAATACAGCCTTCTAATTGCTTACTCACATAGAACCTTACATAATTTGGGGTCCCACTTGAACCCCTCAAGGTTTCTCCTTCACGGTCAACCCTCGGCCGAGGCACACGGATGCTGTAGCATCCATTCCTAAGCTGAAAAACTGGCATTTGTCTGTGTGTGGAGCTGACACGCATCCCTCCGTCAGCTCTGAATGGCAGAGCACACCAGCATTGTCCCTCGCGCAACGCTGAAAGAGGTCCCAAGCTCTGCAGGTCTGTCATTAGATGCAGCATGCTTAGGACCCAAGGGCAAATGTTGCCTTGTTTCAGCAGTTTCTTATACACTGACCACGGGGAAGGGTGGCCACTAGGAAGAAGGCTTTGGCACACAGGAAATGCCCACTTGAGTGGCCTGTCCCAGCCTTCTCTCCTTTCTTATCCAAATGATTTTTATTTTTATTCAGGCTTGTAAAACATTGATCTTTTAAACATTTCCAACTACTGTGATTGCATTACAACATGTGTTAGCCTAGTCTGGATTGATTCTTCTTTGATAGATTGATTTTGCTCTTCTCAAAGCGTTCACAAGCAGAAGAGCTCTGATTGCAGAATGGTCTCCAGTCCAACAAATGTTTCGGTTGGAAGAACAGAAGAGAACACTTCCTTCCGAAGCTCCCTTGGCTGTCCCCAAAACTGGGATGGGTTCTGCTGGGCCACAGGCCATTCCTGCCCTGATAGGGTTAAACCATCTATTTTGTTCTCCTCAAGTTTGAAAAAAACAGGTCCCAGCTCTTCCACTGACATCACCTGTCACTGCCGTCTACTTCTCTGGCTCTCAAAAGCATTAGAAAAAGTGGGGATCCCAACTGCAGAATCAGTGAACTCTATTGTTCCAGAGGAACCCCCCAACTTTGGGGCACAGTTGGGGGGAATACAAAGGACTGAAGGGGAGATCACTGAAAATGTGCCTTTTCCTTGCAATGCTGAGAGAGTCCTATGCGTGGAACTTCAATACGTAGTCAGGTGACTGGATGCAGTTAAGATCCAAGCAATAAAAATTAACTAAGCAAACTTGAATGAACTCTTCAGGAAACATGATGGGTTAGACCTTGTATAGTTTATTTCACACAAGCAATGAGTTCTAAGCATGCGCACAGATTTGATCTAAGTCTCGAAATCTGGAGACCCAATTTGGTGTAGCGGTTAAGGTGCTGGACCAGAAAATGGGAGGCTGTGCGCTCTAGTTCTGTTGGATGACTTTGGGCCAGTCACTCTCTCTCAGCCCAGCCCACCTCACAGGGTTGTTGCTGTGGGGAAAACAGGAGGCAGGAGCATCCCGTACCCTGTCTAGAGTTGTACAAAATAAAGGTAGGATATAAATCTCATAAGAAATAAATTGGAACTACTTCCACTCTGAAAGTTATTTTGCTCTGCAGCTGCCCTGACAGAGAGAGGGGAACAGGCAAGGTGGTAGACACGTCATGATGCAAGCCCCAGTCCACCTGCATACGCACACACACGAACACGCACACACGCATGGAAGATCAGGGCTGGCATCATGATGCCACCTCCAGCTTCTTGCCCATTTTGACTCCCGTTACCACCCCACGGACATTTTGCTGTTGTATTTTAATTCAGTCAGGAATACTAGCCCGTGGGGGTCTTAGACAAAATATAAGAATGATCTCTGAAAGTAAATGCTGAATATCAGTGAAGCAGGCAATTCTGTCACTTTCATCAATTCTGCAGTCTATTTTTTTCCACTGTCCTTTTTTGGAAAGGCCCTTTGTTCCTTGCAAAAGGCTTGTTTCTCTACTGAGCGCTGAAGCATGGCTGACAGAGAGAGCTAACACTAATGTTGATTGATTGACTGATTGCTTTCCTGGCAAATTTAACCCTGAACACCACAAACTCAAAGGGATTTAATGTTCTACTCGGAGCGAACATGCTACTATTTATAGAATTGTCCCACTTACCATACAAGCAGCCTGAACAGCCTCTGAGACGTTGCCAGCATTGGGCTCACACCAGAAAACGTGGCATTCGAAATGCTGGTTTCCCGTATCCATAATGAAGGCAAATGTATGTATATCTTTACCCACGCCCATAAAAGACAAGAACCGGACACGACATTCTACCACGATCTCCTCTTCGTCCTGGTTGGAAAGAAAAAGTTCTCTCTGTCACCATTCAGTGTGAGAGGGAAACCTTGAACACGTGTTATAAGGCTGATAAACCGATTCAGGGCTGTCCAATCAGGAGGGTCTGCACCCATCAGGGATGTCCACAGGGTACACAGTCAAGATGGTGGCCATGTAAAAACCTGGCAGAACTTTCATTGTACTGTTGCGGTCATCTTGATTTTTTTGACCCTACCCTGCAGACGCCCCTGGCACCAGGGGTGGGGTCAATGTAAAAACCTAAGCAATCTTCCGAGCCATCCAGAGAAAAGGCAGGAGGATCTGTTAGGGTAGAGGACGTCAATGAAGTCAAAATGGCAACACAATCAGGTAACTGAAGTCCAGCCACATGTTGGGGTGGGGCTTCAACCGCCCGGTTGCACCTCTCATTTTGACATCATTGACCCTCCTGCTTAAAGGAACTGATATTGAGCATTCGGTGGTTGGAACTCATTAGTAATATATATAGGACCTTTACGCACCTTCTAGGACCCTTAAAAAAAATCTCGAAACGCTTTAGTGACAATAGAATTGATAAAACTGGTAGAGGGGAAGAGAAAAAAGAGTCACAGAATGGAATGACTGGAAGGGACCCTGATAATAATGTCCTAGAGCAGTGTTTCTCAACCTTGGTCATTTTAAGATGTGTAGACTTCAGGTCCCAGAATTCCCCAGCCAGCATGCTGGCTGGGGAATTCTGGGAGTTGAAGTCCACACAT